GGAGTTGAAGTCCACGCGTCTTAAAGTTGCCGAGGTTGAGAAACACAGTGCTAGACCAATCACTCCCCCCCAATCCCCCGATATAAGGAGATCCTCATAGCTTAGTCCCCCACGGAAAATATTGCAGGTTCCTGTTCCCCCACCTGACAATCCTTTCGAATTCAGCCCGGTCCCGTTGCACTTGCACAGCCAAACTGTGCTCCTTCTGGGACACCTGCTCCAGGCGGCTCTGTTTCAACATGGCTTCCGTCTGGATCTTCTTCTGCATGGCGTTCTTCTCCTTCCGGCGCCACTCGCGCTCTGCAGCCTCCTGGTTACGCTTGGCCCTCAGGGCATCCTGTAGAGGCAAAAGGCATCGGCGGAGTTGTAGCACACTTCTAGAGGGGTACAGGTTCTCGCTTAATGACCACAAGAGGGACTGGAAAATTCGTTGTTAAGCGGGGCAGTTGTTCAGTAAGTTGTGACTGATTTTTTGCAGCGGTCATTAAACAAATCACCATGGCCGTTAAAGCAAATCATGTGGTCGTTAAGTGAATCACACAATTGCCCATTGATTTTGCTTGCTGGAAGCTGGCTCGGAAGGTCACAAATGGTGATCACCATTGCTGGCTGGGGAATTCTGGGAGTTGAAGTCCACACATCTTAAAGTTGCTGAGGTTGAGAAACCCCGCTGTAGATGCCCAGATATTGGAAAAGCAGGTTTTGTTTCCTTGCTTGTCAGCAAAAAAACAGGCCAGCCATCCTAGTGGCTTACTTCTGACTGGTAATTGCCAATTGATTGGCTGACAGCAGACTGGTTGTAGCTTGTCCTGTTTTTGTTGGCGAGGAAGAATATTGTATTGCTTCATTTATTTATTTAGCCACTCTCTGCTTGGATTTTTTTTTTTTTTAAATCTGGGAATCAGGTTACGTTGGCTGTTTTCGCTAGCTATCATGTAGACGCTCTTGGATTCATGGAGCAGGGCTGACTGGCACACAAAACTTTGGAACCTCCTTTTGGGTCCGCGAGGGAGGGCAATCAAGGTTTAAGACCCTGATGCCGAACCGTACCTGCTCTGCCTGGTGATCCTGGGCTTTCTCTTGTAAAGCCCGCAGACGGGCTGTCTCCATTTCCTTCTCCCGACGGATCTTCTCTTGTTCAGCCTCAAATTCAGCCTCCCGTGCCTGTGGCAGGAAAAGGGCCCTGAGATTTTCAACTCAGCACCTTCAGGGATGGGACCCACCTCACCCTTTGGGAAAGGGAATCAAGAGGCTACTCCAGAAAAGGCCCCGTCTAACTTTCCCAACAACTGAACCTCTTTTAGGGGGATGTTTCACCAGGTCCTTGGAGAAGCGTTCAACCTCTAGGCTGGCTCGGCTGCTTTCTGCGACCCACACCGTACCATTTTCTGACGCTGGTATTCCAGCACTCGCAGGTCAGCCATCTTCTCCTGGTTCAATTTCTCCTCTTTGCGCCTCTGGTTTTCATCATTGATGTTCCTGATCTCAGCCTGGATCCTCAACTGTTCCAACCTGCGGCGCTCCATTTCCTGGAAAAGCCCCGGAGATAGATAAGTTAACTACAGGACCTCACCTGTCCTGAAATCTTTCATCACCTGGCGATGCCATTCCCCTTAAAATTCAGGTAACCCGTACAATAAAGGCTTATCAGCTTTCCTCCCACCCACCGTGAAAATCAAACAACAACCCACAATTTGAAATTCCATCTCACCCTACTTCCTAAGAATTTTACTGCTGGCTTCTAATTTTGAAAAGAGTCTTGCCACACACCTCTAAAAGTCTGCGTGGGATGCAATAAAACATAATAAACAAACATCTAACAAACTTAAACAGCTATTTCTTTGGAAGCCCAACGTCGGCTGGGTCCACGCATCATGCTAAGCCACAACTGGTCTGCCTCGTTTGGCGTGGCTTGCTGGGTCAGCCCCAAGAATGGTGCTTCATTTGATAAACACGGTTAAACAAACTGGGGCTTAGCATCCAGCCGATTCGATGTTTCTTCTGATTAGACAGGATCCTCCCAGCAGAAAAGATCTTTTCCCATACCTGCTACCAAAAATATCTATGCATGGGGAAGTCTGTCAGATCTACAGGACTGAATGACAAAACACGTGTTGCACGCAAGCCCCATGACTCATATACTTGACTTCGACATCAGAAGTTTGAAAGTCTGGGGTTTCCACTGTGACATGTAATAGATGCTGTGTTGTTTCTACTGGATGTCTCTGCCGGCTCCAGATGTTTTAAAAGAAGAGGGGCTGAGGATTAAACCTGGGGGCTTCTGTCTGCCAAGCCTCTTCTTTAACCTCTCAGCCTCACCCTTTCATCTTCAAACTGCAGCCGTTCTAGGTAGTCCAGCATGTCCTGGGCCTCTTGGTCACGTTGCTCAGCCTTCATGGCTCGCAGTTCCTCATTTTTCTCAATCTGCTGAATGATGTGGCGCCTCCCTCTAGAAAAGAGGAAGGAGAAGGGGCTGTGTGGAAGCTGCCGGCCACTGAGGCCTGACGGCTCTTTTCTTCCAAGGGGCAAGTCCCTTTCAGTCCCAGTTGTCCTTCCTTCCCTTCTCTTGCTCCAAAGGGAAACCTAGATGCAGATTGCGAGATTCCACATTCAACGCCACCCAGAGGATTGCGAAGGGCTAAGGGCACCAGGTTTTCTAGACCAGGCTTTCTCAACCTTGGCTACTTTAAGACGTGCGGACTTCAACTCCCAGAATTCCCCAGCCAGCATGCTTTAAGATGTGTGGGCTTCAACTCCCAGAGTTCCCCAGCCAGAAAGATGGCTCTAGACCCCTTCAGTTGAGGGACTGCAGTCATCTTCACCTAGCCCTCCCTGTGAGACATTGAGAAGGTTCACCTCAAACCTCTTGAGATGTTGCCCTGTTGCCTGAAATCTCCCCCATTCTTGCCCTAAAATACGGCAGGATGTGGTGCTTGCCTGAAATTAGGGTTATTTTTTTAATGTTGTGTTCAACTGAACCCTTATTTATTGGTGGGTTCACTGTTGCGGTCCTGGGCCTGAGAAACCCGAGGCCTCCTACAAGAGCTCACCTGTACAGTTCTTCTTTTCTCTTGCGTTCCAGATCATCTTGCATGTGATTAGCCTTCTGCCTCTCCACTTCCATCATCCGGGCTAACCTCATCTCCTCTTCGTTCAGCTCCTTCTCAATCTGCTTCTTCTCCAGGATCTGAGCATCACGGATGGCATGGCACTTGGCTTCCAGGATGATCTGCCAGGAGACG